CGCAGAATCAGTCCGACAGCCCGGAATCACCTCCCACCTCGCAGAATCAGTCCGACAGCCCGGAATCACCTCTCACCTCGCAGAATCAGCCCAGAAGTCTGCACTGCAAGGAACCAGGCCCACAGCCTGAGCCCCGTGAGACCGAGTCAGCTGGCATGGACCAGCCGCGGGTTTTTAATTACAGTGTAGCCATATCCATAAAGGTCATGCCCTGTAGCTTTCACACCTGGAAATGCTGCAAGAAAATCATTTGAAACTGCAGGGTTTTGCATCAAGACCGTGAATCAGCCCTAGGTTTGTTCAAAAGCTTTTCAGTTAGTGAATCTCACAGCTGTGTATATTTCACTTGCTTTAGGTGGAAGGTGTGACAAAACTCTCACCACCAGGTAGGGTTAGTGCTGCTTGCTGCAATAATTAGAGTGGAGCTCACACCAAAACACTGAATCTAAACAACAGGTTTCTAAATTATTTAGATTATAAATTCCTTGGGACAGGGAGCTTATCTTCACACCTCTGTAACAAGTCTAGCAACTCTGGGCACCACATGAAGTTCTAATCCAGATCTGAGCTTTGTGGCTGCCTCTGTAATAGGCCAAACAGCCACGAACTATGGGAAGAAAAGAGTTTTCAGGTTTTTTGGCCCTCCAATTACAATAATAGTTTGTCCCTCAATTGAGCCTCCCAGCCTGTACAGATTTAACAAATTACGCCATAAAACACACACACATGAGGTAGGAAACCCTTATTATCCTAATCATAAAGACAGGGAAGTTGAAGCACAGGTAGGTGAAGTGACTTGACCAAAGTCACATAGTGAGTTCATGTCAGAGTCAGGGATAGAACAGAGCTGTGTCCTAACGCCCACCTCTGTGCTTTTACTACCAGCTCATGCTTCTATTCTTGATTTGTGTGTATTCGTAACCTGGCAGAGACTTTCAGCTCCATGTACACTCTGCATCCAATTAATGCCAAAGATATGCTGTCTAGCAACGTGGAAGGATCTCCTTACAGAATTACCCCTCTGGGAAGAGATTGTAATCCCAAGGGATGTGAGCAGAAATTAAGGGTTGACCATCTTGATCTGACTCTTGGTTAAATGAATGTGATTCTTCTCTGTGGATTATATTTCAGCCTACTAAATAGAGAAGTAATTGAAGGTGGCAGTCAAGGCACAAAGCTAACAGGTTTCAGAGTGGTAGCCGTGTTAGTCTGTATCAGCAAAAACAACGAGGAGTCCTTGTGGCACCTTAGAGACTAACAAATTTATTTGGGCATAAGCTTTTGTGGGTTAACAGTGACTCCTAAATGCCAATAACCCTTCCCTGCGTGTGTTCAGTGAAAGCTGCAGAACCCATCCAAAACAAGGAAATCAGAGTAGTCAACATAAGTTATCACCAGTGAACCATTTCTATCACGAACACCAGACATAAAGCAGCAGGGTCCTCTTTAAAGATCATGTTTCATAAAGGCAGCTGATCAGATAAAGAAGGGCAATTACGTAAAGGCATAATAAAATTGTACAGACACAGCAGGGAGACAGCAGTGGCAGCAGCTATGGGGAAAATAGCAACAGGCAACACGCAAGAGTGGGCTCAGTTTGGATCAGTACTCAAGTATTCAGCTATTTACCCAAACACCTGAACTTCTGGGTGTAAAGAATTCATGTGTTGTGACAGCAGACGTAACTGGGGCACTCAGACTAGTACCCAAAGCTTTCATGACTCTATAGGCAAACACTAGTACAAGGTTGCTTTATCCTCTTTTGGGGCCCTGCCACTACAGGTCAACATCTCCCTCACACTCTCTCTCAAAATCTGGGCTGGAAATATCGTGAAAACAGGGTCCCTTGTAAATGGTCAGTACTGTAATTCCCTCCTTGGTCCCACTGGGAAATCTAGTGTTCATGGGTGCTGGCCCATCCTTTGCTCACCCCACTGCAAAAGAAAGCCCTTAGAGTGGTAAATTAACTCTTTTTTTGCTTGTTTTCCAAAAGCTCTTCTTTGCTGCGGTCATCCACATGAGCATCATGCTGAAATCAGTGAGACATCAGAGTACACACAGTACAATCAGCAATACAGCAATGGAAGTGCATCCTGCCTGAACACAGCAGAAAGCTCGTGGAGGAAAGCTCCAGCTACCCTACTCCCCACCATGGCAAACATAAGCAAGAACCAGATTGATTCTGGTCCTAAATTGATTTGCTTACATATTGTCTAAAGCTATTTCTGAGTCTCCCATCTGATCAGCAAAAAGCAGCTTCCCCTCCCCACACCAGCTGGGAAATCATTCAATGTACAGTACATAGAGGATTAGCAATGTAGCTGGCTCATGATTAAGGCAAACCAAGACCCTCTCATGAGATGTGCTGGCCACCTTCAGCTCCCAATGAAGGGCTTCCTCCCAGAGCCAGGCTCAGGAAAGACAAGTGTCACAAAGAGTATCATGTAGTGAACCTGACTCCCAGAAAGCAAAGACATAGCATGAGGCAGCTCCCAAGAGAATTCTGAGCCTGGAGATGCGGTGATATGCAGATCGGGGAATGCTGGCACAGTTCTTTGCTAATTTTCTTTGATAGGTGCCTACAACTTTCTAGCTCCAAGACAAAGATCCAGACTAGTCCTCACAACCCCAGTGGGTTTCACTAGTGAGTTTGGAGATTACACTGTCAAAAGGAAAAGCATCTGGATGTCATCTGTATTTGCAAAACACTTTGGAAAGAATAGACACATAAATATGTCACAGAGATAGCGACAATAATGAATCCAAAGGACATACGGTAATAAAACTACAGACAATTTGAAATTACACAGTTTCCCCCCATCTGCGAGGAATATTCAGCCAAAAGGAAGGGAGGGCCCAGGCCCCGTGTTAGGTTGTAATGCCTCTGATTTATATCTGATGGGAACTAAACTGGGCAAAAAAGGTTAATGCTACAATCTTTATATTGCCATAAAATAATCCACACTAATTACAAAAAAAAAATCTGCTGCTACAGAAACTGTGTTCTGGATTCTGGAAGCTTTTACTAAAGCATATTGTCAGATTATAAGGCTAAGTACGCACCAGACAAATGCCAGCACTAGAGCAGGTAAAAACGTATTTCAAACAATGCCTTACTTTATTGACTAGCAGCTGTTCAGCTCCAGGCTTCAGGGGCTTCCATCTACTTCCACCATTCCTGCCATCTCTGCGTACCTCCAGAGTCTTTGAACCCAGGTCATTCTCAGCTGCAGGACAAAATCCACACAAAAAGGAATTAAAGGATAAACACCATGTTCTGGCTCAGTCTGTGGGGTGAGGGCTGTTTTGAATGAAAGAAACAAGACAGTGTGAAAATACTCCTTCAAGCTTTACTTTTTTCTAAAAAAATAAAAAAGTAGAAAATTTATTTCAGTGCCTAATTCATACTCTTGAGATGGAAGAAAAGTATCCTAATTTGGATGCTGTGGAAATTCAGACATCACTTAAGAGCTCAGGCCCAAATTCAGTTCTGGCCTAGGCAGGTAGGGGCAGACACGCTGGATCACAGGCCAGGATGCTATTCCACAAGCACAGGAAGAATATAATCTGAATACATTGTTATTAAAGGTCTGGTATCTCAAGGACCGTAAGTTCTAAAACACTTATATATCTTTGGAAATCTGGGGTTCCCAGCCTTGGTGGTCTGCAACATGAGACACCTTGAAGTGGTAACTGCTCCTTTAATCTACGCAAATCAAGAACAGGCCATTAAAAGGCTGAGTACCAGAGAAGCCAGGATGTTTTCATCATCCCAAGCATCCTAGGCCAGTCCACCCATGGAAACAATTGCACTTCAATGGATTTGCACCCACTTACACCAAGTCTGAACTTGGCCCTATAAACAACTGAGCACCCCTTGAGGATTCTATACCTGAAGGTGCAGCTGGCTATTAAGGAGATACAAATGAACTAGGAGGAGATGATTTAAGCATAACTTACCTTTTATTAAATTCAGCTATATTGTTCTAATCAACCATGAACCCAGCTCTTCCTCCCAACCCACACCCGATGGGTATGGCACAGTTCTGGGCAGAAGCCTTTGCTCTAGTTTAGAGAGGTCTATTTCCCTCTCAGATTGCCCATGATTTGGTTTGAATCACTTCCGCCAGTCCACCCTTCACACAATGCTTGCCTGGAGTGATATCCATGGGGAGAGATGAGCTGTAGAAAGGCACCACACGTAGGTCTGCAGCTGCTGCTAATGCAGGCTCCTGAGTCAGCAGGCCACACGTGGCTTGAGCAGAGCACAGACAGCGTGCGTGCCTGAGTGTTCATTCGCTTCCCCTGGGGTCTGTCAGCCCTTTCAGGAAGGAAAGAGCTGAATTCCGGAAAATTTGCCTGAGAGATGTATAACACTGATTTCCCTCTTTCCAATCCACCCCTAAGTCCAGACAGCAGTTGCACTCAATGCTAACCTAGGATGGCTGTATGACTCAGGGATGGGCCCAAACCAAAATCCCAGATCTAAAATATCAGCTCCAGACTGTGAAACTGGCCAGTGACAGGATGAGCTGAAACCCTGTATCCAAGTACTCCTGAGCTTTGGGAAAGTGGAGATACAAGCCTGGATCTGAACTCTGCAGATCAATTTCACCTCTACCTTACAATGGCTCTATGTGCAGTGGGTAGCGATACAGTTTGGAAGCTAACAGCATCTGGCAGACAGAATCAGCTAGACCTTATAATACAAGTTTTAGCTATGAACTGCTCCCCATGCAGACAGGATCCTTCCAATGGCAAGCCTGGAGGTGTGGTTTACTCTATAGCACATTAAATGAAGACCTACTGACTACTGATCCTATACATCTCTTATCATACTACCTTGCTGTGCTTCTACTGTGCCATTCATGTGAGGATCTCAGAGTACTTCATAATCGTTCAGGGGCATTAAAACATGGCATTTTGTTCTGATTCCCAGTGATAAGCTAACCATGAAATTCATACCCATGGATCCAATCCCACACCCAACTGAAGTTTTGCTCCAGATCAGGATCCAGACTTGGAGATGATTAGATCTGGGGTTCTGTCTCAGACCCATCTCTAGTTATGGAATTGCATTCAGGGCTGCTTGGACAGGGAACCTGATTTTCTTCCAGCATTACTGGGAGAGAGAGAGAGAGAGAGAGATTGCACTGAAACCTATTTCCTAAATGCAGTACTGACATAGTCAGCCTGCTATTATTTTTAGCAGTGCATGTTTCTCTTTCTAGTCTCTCAAACAAACAAAAAACAAACCAAGCTGCAGTGTGAGGACTAATTATAACTAAAGGATGATACAAGACTAAAGAGGCAACATGCAGATTCTGTAACACTTGCATTCTTAATAAGGCTTATCCACTTCCACCCACACACTAGAAACGTATCAGTACAGAATAACATTCATTTTAGTAAGCAGCTGCTTCACCCTTTCACCACTGGTGCTTCTCATACCTGCTGTGCTGCCACCATCCATTAACACTTGGTTTCAATGAGTGGCATATTTGGATGTATCTACATGGCTGGGATTCTTGACCTGGACATACCAAGAACAAGAAATCCTAATGTTCAGGTATTAGTAATATTGACCCCTTAGGAAAGAACCTCCATACTCTATATGTCATTCTTCCTAATCAGGGAGATTGGACATTGAAGACACCTATTAGATCATCAGCTCATCTCCCTGCAGTACATTCTCTCATGGAAGTAGATGACAGGGGATGGATACTCGATGATGGCCTGTTCTGTTCGTTCCCTCTGAAGCAGCGGCCTTGGCCACTGTTGGAAAACAGGATACTGGGCTAGATGAACCATTGATCTGACCCACTATGGCCATTCTTATGTTTTCTCCAGAGTAGTTTGGAGATAGAACTTGTACCAATTTCCTTGGCCAACTATTTCACAGCATACTAGATTGTACTCAGGTTTCTGATATTCTCTTCCCTCTTGATCAGAAAGAAGATCCAGATTGGAAAAAAGCTTTTCCTTCTGATGTCACATTCCGAAACAAACCTCCCATCTGGATCTCTGAGAAAATTTAGCTAATCATTCATCTTCTCAAATGGCAATATTTACAAAGAGACTACTAAATTACACAAAACTGTCCAGGACACAGAACTGGGAAGAAATCACCATGTACAGCAAATGAGGTGAAAACCCAAATCACAGGTTGCTAAAAGGTTTTTACACTTCAGAGCACCATCCATCTCCCTGTTGGGTAATGAAAATCTGGGGACAGGAATTAAAGAGGGTAAAGACCCATTATTTGCAATACACATGAAGATCCTAATTCATCAGGGTTAAACTCTCTACAGCTTGTGGCTATGGCAACCTGTTCCCCCAAGTTCCAGATTTATAACGAATACAGATGTAATTCCAGACCATCTCTCCTAGTCCCTAGCCCAATGCTTCCCTTGCTGCTTTGGTTGAAAGGCAAGTCTGAGGGTACGTCTTCACTACCCGCCGTTTCGGCAGGTAGCAATCGATTTATCCGGGATCGATATATTGCATCTCGTTAAGACGTGATTATCGATCCCCGAACGTGCTCACCGTAGACTCCAGAACTCCACCAGAGCGAGCAGCGGTAGTGCAGTCGACGGGGGAGCCGCGGTCGTCGATCCTGCGCCGTGTGGACCCCAGGTAATTCAATCCAAGATACTTCGACTTCAGCTACGCTATTTGCGTAGCTGAAGTTGAGTATCTTGGATCGATCCCCCCCACCAGTGTAGACCAGCCCTAAGTAGTCAAATGAAAGGTGACTCACCACCAGTGCTCAGCAACATCCGCCTCCTCCAGCCCAGTTGGTCCAGCCCCATCGGAGTGCTTTGCGAAAGGGGTAAGGAGCGACATCTGTCCAACAGGATTTTGAAAGGAGGTGTTTGTGGTGATGGATGAAGAGGGTGAGACAGGGGCTGGAAAGAAAAAAATTGTGGAGTAGGAATATTATTGCCTATAGTTTGACAAAGGTCAGACTCAATTAGTGCAATGGCATGACTCATGCCTTTCTCCAAGACATTAAGCTCACTGTAATACACCCTAAATGGGCCAAACAAATCTGTGACCACTTAATTGTTTTCAATAGAAAGATTTAGACTTCCTGATCATCTCTGTATAGTATCAGCTTTCATTTCTAGTAGGTCACTAGCTTGAACTCAGATCCAGGGATAAAATTTTCAAAAAAGCATACAAGTCATTTAGGAGCATAAGTCAATGGGACATAGGCTCTTAAGTCTCTTGGGCACTTTTGAAAGTTAGACCCAAGGTCACTAGTGGTCGAATGTTGTTCCTTCCTGGTTGTACTTTGTTGGCCTACCTGAAATAAGTAGTTTGTTATCTCAGTCTAGTTCCCATATTGATGTGTCACAGTAATCACCACTACCACAATCCACATTAACTCAGAGAGGTCAATAATTGAATGGCATGGAAAGTGAACAACAATGTACTGGGACATGATTCCTCCAAAGCCGGAGGAGGCACACAGTCAGGGAGCAGTGTGAGGAGTTTGCACGGTCTCTGCGCGTGCTATGGTTAAAGAGGAAAACATCAGCTCCCAGTACTGGCTATCTTGCCTCTTACTCTATAATTTGTTTTAATTACAGATATCACTTTTTTAAAAAAAAGCACACACTCAGTTAACTTTACTAATAGCACAGAACGACACTTAAGGCTGAGAGAGCCAAAGCAGTTCCAGCAATACCCTAGCTGAGTTATTCTGAGTACTGTGGATTTTGTTACTATAACAATACCTGTATAAAAGTCAATTATCTCTCAGGTCCCCCAAACCTTACAAATACAGCTGCTTTTCTAGTCATTTGCATATTAGGTGTTTTCCAGTGCAATAAACAGAATCCTACACTTGGTCTTTGAACCGGACAGCAGGTTGCAACCTTGTTATGTATAGTAGGTATTCTTGTGGAGCAGGTACGTTCACTAAGGAGGCACAGAAGACCATGTGGGCAGGAAAGGATTCTGCACACCTAGGTGGAATTTTATTACTTTTGAGGTGCGTATGCTTGTAAAAAAGAACATTGAAAATTATCTAGACTATCCTGCCTCTTTAAGAACCAAATCCAATAGCTCTTGCCTCAGCTAAAATTAAAGTGTAGCATAGGGCTTGCTTCAGCCAAGTCAAAGCATGAATCATTGAAGGCAAGAAAAACTCACCTTGCTCCCTTCCAGACATGCTTCTGCCCCTCCCTGCAGTCCACATCTCCCCTCTAGTGTGATTGGAGGAATTAATTAATTGTTTACAGCTGGTCCAACCCTGCTACCTAAGCAAATCCCCTCTCTCATTACAGACCACCTTCTGAAGGAGAGTGTTAACCCCTTCCCTGCCAACCCCATCAAAGAGTTTGTGTCTATCTGAAGCATCTGTCATTAGCCCCTTGTCTGAGACAAGATACCAGTGATATTTACCATTACTCAGGTCTGGGTTCCAGTTCATCTTGTTCCTGTTAGAGCTGCAAAATTCAGATGTGAATACAAACTCTTCTAAATTCTGTTGAGTCTTCTGAGATAAGTTTTGGTTTGGCTTATTATAAGGATAGGGACCAATTGTGAAGTTACATTAGTAAGCATGAAATTGCAAGGGCTTCCAATCCTCATGCTTCAGGGCATAAGTTGATCACCAGATGGAATCAGGATAGAATATTTTTTCCTCTCTCTCTCTCTCTCTCTCTCTCTCACACACACACACACACACATATATACACAAAAATGGACAGTATTATATCATTAGCTGCATTATGTTCACATTACATCTTCTGAAGCATCTGTCACTGGAGTGTGTTATTCACAACACTTGTCACTGTTGTTTTCTGTCTCCCAAATGTATTTATATGGTGCCTGTCACCATCATTTCTAGTTCTGGGATCACAATTCCTATGTTCTTGCTAGAGATAATTTAGATCCAGACCCAGATTTAATCCAGTCAAAAACAGGAGTGGCTGGGAATTTGAATGTGAGGGGTTAGTTAGGATCCATCTCTAGTTCTTGACTGCACATGCCTCTGTACTCTTTCACTACGCTTAAAAATAGTATCAGAACATCTATTTCGATTGAAGGGGTCACACAGAAAGGAGTCAAAATTACAGAGGTGGTTTCCTTGAAAGTTGATTGCTAACTGCTAACATGACCCATACATTATACCCGGTGCCTGTGAAGTGCTACTGAAAACAAACAAAAAGGCTTTGCTGTTAACTAAAGCAACCATAAAGTGGCTGAGTATTCTTTGGCTGTGCCTCCACCAAAGTAATAGTGAATCCAGACAAAGAGGAAATGGCCTTTTAAGGCTAATAGGAAGAACACTATAACTTTCCCTCTCTCAAGCAGTGACTACCTTTCATTAGCTAAAGAACAATTGTCTTGAAATGGCCAAATGTGCAGTGACTATCTGAAGAATGGCTTCATTTTTTAGTTATACAATTCAAAATCAGGCTTTTATTTTTATCCTGACAAATGATGAGTCTCAGACACACTCTGTAAGTTAGGAAATCAGCAGAATTTTCTGTGGACGATGTAACAGTACCAACTGGGAGATTCACCGGTTCCAAGGGACCATTGTGATTACCTAGTTTGACCTCCTCTGCAACACAGGCCACAGAACTTCCAAAATCATTCTTAGAGCAGTTCTTTTACACCAGGGATCGGCAACCTTTGGCACGCGGCCCTCCGGAGTAAGCACTCTGGCGGGCTGGGCCGGTTTGTTTATCTGCCGTGTCCACAGGTTCGGCCAATCGCGGCTCCCATTGGCCGCGGTTCGCTGCTCCAGGCCAATGGGGGCGGCGGGAAGTGGCACAGGCTGAGGGATGTGCTGGCTGCCACTTCCCACCGCCCCCATTGGCCTGGAGCGGTGAACTGCAGCCAGTGGGAGCCGCGATTGGCCGAACCTGCAGACGCGGCGGGTAAACAAACCAGCCCGGCCCACATGCCAAAGGTTGCCGATCCCTGTTTTAGACAAACATTCAATCTTGATTTAAAAATCACCAGTGACGTAGAATCCACCATGATTATATGTAAATTGTTCCAATAGTTATTACCCTCTTTTTAGTAAGCTTTCGGGCTAGATGAGAGTTGCATCTATGTATCTTAGGTATTTACATGGCCCCCATTACCACAGTAAGTGAGTGCCTTTAATGTATTTATCCTCAAAACATTCCTGCGTTTTGACGATAAATACATTTTACAGATGGAAAGCTGAGGCAAACAGAGAATAAGTTACTTGCCCAAGGTCACGCAGGAAGACTACATCAGAATAAAGAACTGAACTTACATTCCCCAAGTCCCAGGCTAGCACGTTACCCCTGGACCACCATTCTTCTCTTGATTAGGAGACAAAATGGTAGATAAAGTAGGCTCCATTTCAAGGTACATTTACCAGCCATTCCAGCTTTCTGTATTTAATGAATGCAGGAGGACTTCCTTATAGATGAACTGGCAATAAGACTGGTTAACGGGAAGAGGTTGCAGGGAATGTGTGACATTTTATTGTTCTTTATTATTAATTATTATTATTTATAGGACAGTATGCCCAGAGACCTCAACTGGGATCAAAGCCCCAGTGAGCGGGACACTGTACAAACACATAGTATAAGACAGATTGTAAACTGTTTGGGACAGGGAACTAATTAAAAAGCCACAAGTGGTTATAACAAACTAATGTAGGGAGTAGGGAACAGCAGATCATGTGGAACATGTGGTTACATGGATTAGCCATGTGCCAACTAGCTGGCTGAGTCAAATATGTATGGATAAAGCCACCAGCCTTTACATACACTGCCAAACCTCTCACTGACAGCAAAATAACAGCATTCCCAGACAAAACACCAGTTAAAGAGAAAATAGAAGTTTTTGTCATTAAGATTTTACTAGTACCTTGTGGTTATTAAAATAAAAAAGTGTCTGAAAATCAGAACAGCTAGAGACAAATGGCCCTGCCACTAAAATGTAGCTACTACAGAATAGAACATAGCAGCCATTTGGCCCAAGCAAGATTTAAGAGAGTGGGGAAGTGAAGTATCATTTCTTGATTTGAAATATTAGTCTGAAGTTTAATCAGTGGTACTTCAGCTGCCAATGGGCCAATATTAACTGTGAGTTAGAGAGAGAACTCTGATGATCAGCTCTAGGAAATAGCCCTTCTCCTGGCTACTATGTAGTTACAGGTCTCTACAGTAATCTTTGCAACATTAAATGCCAGACAGCCAATGCAACAATAAACTAAACTGAAAAGGCCACTGTGAGAAGTTGCTGAACATTACCAGCAATTTCTTGTCAAATAGAGAAGAAGAAAATAGCAGCTTCTCCCAGTTGTGACAAGCAAATTGTACCAGCTGCTACAAAATGAAGATAAGCAAAGCTGCAAGTCTGTGGCTGAATTTAGAACTCCTGAGTCCAAGTCCTGTGCTTAATCAGCAGACTATGCACCTGCTATTCTCCTGAATGTACCAGTCCAGGCAGAACAGGCATGTGCAGAGAGAATGCCCTTCTGAGTCCCTGAATTTCTCAGGTATATCCACATGGTGTGCAGTTACTGCATGAGAAATTATATGTGCCACTCATGAATGAAAGCATCAGTTACTCTACTAGCAAATAATGTTTGCTAGCATTGCTCACACCTCAAAACGTGGACTGCTTTATGGGAGATCATTGGTCATGCTCCCCGCTAATATGGCCTGCTTTATGGGGGATCTTTAGTGGCAGTAACAATTCAAGCAACTCAATGATATTCACCAACACTAAGGTGAAGAAGGGGGCTGTTCCACCAATGACCTTCAGCAGTATCAACCACAGAACGAGGGATCACTTCATAGCAATCTGGGGCAATAGCTGCCTGTTTTATAAGAGTGGCAGGGGTCTGTGCGTGAATAATCTGTTGTGGCTCAGGCGCAGACAGCCATCTTGACACAGCACC